TACATTAGGTCAGCTAACATCCCCCCAACCCACTGATAGATAGACAAGAAGGTATGGAACAAGAACTCGGTGGACGCGAATTTGTGTCGGCCATCGGTGATTTTATATTTAATTTTGAAAATCGAGGACGCGAATTCGCGTTTTTCGAGCTGGATGCAAAATCGGCAAGGACGCACGTTCCTCTGGTCGAAAGTGTTAAACATAAAAATTCGAAACTATTTTAAAGGCGTAAGATTCTTTTTGAAATTAAACAATTTCTACTGCCCTTACTGCAATGGAAAAATTGAAGGGAGGGCCTGGCTTGATAAGCTTAGACTCCAAATGTTATCTTGTGAAGGATGCTAGGCAGAACCAAGCGTGTCAGGTTACAAAATCCTCCTAACATGAGCCAGGCCCTCCCTTTAATTTTTCCATTGCAGTAAGGGCAGTAGAAATTGTTTAATTTCAAAAAGAATCTTATGCCTTTAAAATAGTTTCGAATTTTGATAACAGATGGCGCGCTAGTGCCTCATAAAACAATACGTTTCTGGCAATGTCTTTCTTTTCACCTATATCATCAAATATGTCTACAGATCTTACTGAAATAAGACAAGCCCTCTCATTTAACAACTTTTATCATTACAGTAAGGTCTATAAAGATTGAGATAGAAACATACCTTATTGACTTCCAGTCAACATAAAAACAAAGTTACAAGATTACAGCTATCAGCATTATAAAAAAATATATACATGACAACAAACTCGAGGCCTTCCCCGAGGGACATCTAGATTACATCAAGGGCTACAAGCCGCCCTGAGTCCGGATAGGTGCTTGGCCATAATGGAGTTTTTGTCACCAACATGTTCATTTGCCATGTTGAGGAATTCGCACAGAATGGTTTTCTGGCGAGAACTGCCTGAGGAGTTGCTCAGAAAGAAGCTGCCTGAGGAGTTGCTCAGAAATTATAAGAAAGAAGAACATTCAAGCATGAAGTTTCTTTTGAGCATAAAACAAACTTCTACTGTCCTTACTGCGATGAAAAATATTGGGAGGGCTTGGCTCATCAGTGGTGAACCCTCCCAACGGTATATAAGCGTAGCAGTATATATAAAAGCAGAATGATCCATACAGTATTAAAGCTCTAAGAAGCTGTCTGATAGATTAAACTAGCCGAATGACCCGGGCAACGCCCGTGTTTTACCCGATTGAATGTTTTTATTCAAATACTATTTGTTACAATTATAAATTGGCGCCTTAAATAAATGCATATATTAGTTAATAACTATAGCCTATGTGCTTTATCTGCCTATGTACTGTTGGCTTCCGTAGGAAAGACGCTCGTAACTGTATATAGAATAACTATAGCCTACCGCCCGCCATGCGCGCGCACAGGGAAGTCACGTGCTCGCCGGCAGCCAACGGGCGCGCGCCGCCGGCGGGGGGGGGGGGGCAAAGGTGGCGTGACCGTAGCCAACCAATAAAAGCAAACGGTGACGGAGAAGGATGACGGATTAGGAAAGACGCTCGTAACTGTATATAGAATGGTGAAACCGCTAGTAGGGTTCACTGATGAGTCAAATCCTCCCAATATATTTTAATCGCAGTAAGGATAGTAGAAGTGTATTTTATCTTTAAAAGAAACTTGAATGCTTGAATATTTTCCTTTCTTATAATGTGTTTCTTTTCACATATATTATCAAATATCTCTATAGACCTTACTATAATGAAAAAAGTTGTTGAATGAGAGGATTTTTGGCTTATTGAAATAAGTTCTGTGAAGATATTTGATGATATAGGTGAAAAGAAACAAATTACCAGAACATTTTTGTTACATATTTAATCGATAAATGTCAATTTAATTTATTAAATATTTATCTACGTTGTAGCAAAAGCACGTTGAATTCATTTTCGCGATATTATACTCATTTATAATACGATGCACTAGCGCGCCATCTGTTATCAAAATTCGAAACTATATTAAACGCGTAAGATTCTTTTTGAAATTAAACAATTTCTAGTGCCCTTACTGCAATGGAAAAATTAAAGGGAGGGCCTGGCTGGGAGGGTTCACCACTGATGAGCCATGCCCTCCCTTTAATTTTTCCATTGCAGTAAGAGCAGTAGAAATTGTTTAATTTTAAAAAGAATCTTATGCGTTTGAAATAGTTTCGAATTCTGATTATACTCATTATTAAAAAATTAGAAACTATTATAGATAGACACGTATGATTCTTTTAAAAATAAAACAATTACTACTGCCCTTACTGCAATGTAAAATTCAATGAGAGGACCTGACTCATCAGTGGTAAACCCTCCCAGCGGTTTCGCCAGTTTAAAAGAATCATACGTGTCTATAATAGTTTCGAATTTTCATAACAGAAGAGCCTCAGATATCTCCATTTATCTATATCACAGCAGTCGCAATTTTCTCTATCTTGGGTGTGTAAAGCTGCTGCTCTGGGTCCATGTCAATTTTCTATTGTTGTCGTGTCCAATGAAGAGCCTCAGATATCTCCATATATCTATATCACAGCAGTCGTAATGTTCTCTATCTTGGGTGTGTAAAGCTGCTGTTCTGGGTCCATGTTAATTTTATGTTGTTGTTGTTGTGTCCAATGAAGAGCATCAGATATCTCCATACATCTCTATCACAGCAATGTTCTCTATCTTTGGTGTGTAAAGCTGTTGTTCTGGGTCCATGTCAATTTTCTGCAAGTTTGTGGGTATTGCTGAACATGGATATATGTAGGTAGGTAAAGAAAAATTAAAAACCTTTTTTGGGTATATTAATTCCCCCCCCCATAAAAACGAGTTAATGAGAGGTAATCGATGTTTAATTGAAAGTAAACCACAACACTTAGGACATTTAGATTCATCAAGACGTTTAGAGGTTTAAAATTTAAAAAAGAAAATTCTCTCAAGGTCCTCATGTACATAACTGTATATATTTTACTCTTTTATTTTATCCCTCCTTTTATAATTATTATATACTACTACCATTGACTTGTGTATGATATTAATAAAATATTTTTAAATCCCAAAAAAAAAAATCTCAAGGTCTTCATTTAGAACAAAAGTTGAAAGGGAATATGGCGAGGAAAGGAATTTATTTCAGTTCCCAAGTTCCCCCCACATTCAAGCTGAAAATAGCAGACGACGGATGTGAGGGGGCGGAATGGCCAACGGTTGTGGGAGGGGGGAAGGGGGGGGGGGGGGAAGAGAGACAGCTTGGGCTTAGCTTCAGACGACCGGGGACATTCTGCATCGAACAAGGAAGTGGTCTCGAGCCTTGTCTTGTTCTGGTTGCCTCCCTACCAATCCATACAGCCATGTTTTCAGAAAGGACCTTCTTTCTTCCAATCTTCCAAAGTTTAAACAGGTCACAACAGAAGAAGAGATCTAATAAACAATATCTATCTAAATTTGGCCTCGAGCCTTGCTAATCCATACAGCCATGTTGTCAGAAAGAACCTTATCTCTCCCAATCCTACAAATTTTAGGCAGTTCACAACAGGGGAAAAAAAATCTAATAAACACTATCTATCTAAATTTGGCCTTGAGCCTTGCCTTGTTCTGGTGGTCTCCACACCAATCCATACAGCCATGTTGGCATAAAGGACCTTCTTTCTTCCAATCTTCCAAAGTTCAGACAGGTCACAACAGAAGAAGAGATTCAATAAACTCCATCTATCTAAATTTGGTCTCGAGTATTGTCTTGTTCTGGTGGCCTTCCCACCAATCCATACAGCCATGTTGGCATAAAGGACTTCTTATATTCCAATCTTCCAAAGTTCAGACAGGCCACAACAGAAGAAGAGATACAATAAACACTCCATCTATCTAAATTTGGCTTCGAGCCTTGCCTTGCTCTGTTTGTTTCCACACCAATCCATACAGCCATGTTGGCATAAAGGACCTTCTCTCTTCCAATCATCCAAAGTTCAGACAAGAGAAGAGATACAATAAACACTCCATAGATCTACATTTTGCCTCGGGCATTTCCTTGATCTGGTGGCCTCCCCACCAATCCATACAGCCATGTTGTCAAATTATATTGACAAATATTTGCACTTTTATCTTATCTCAGGTTTTAGTGGGGAGAATTTTGTTTTTGTTTGATAGTGAACCAATCTCTCCCGTCTTCTCATTGGACGAAAATGTTGCCATGTCTGTATATAAAGCGGGGCTATGGTATTGCGAGGGGGAGTGTGGTTGATTATTGTGTGGAGACGCTTAAAGTGTTCTCTGCGTGATTTATCCGTGTCTGGTGATCTCCTCGCATACCTGTGTGACCCCGGTCTGATCCCTACCAACGCTACAATAAAAGATAAGTACTGTTTATATTTTACCATTCGTTATTTTATTTACTTCCTTGTTTAGGTTGTACTCTTGAGTGTACGCTTTTCTATATGTTAGTTCCTATTACGGTAGGCCCTAGTTTATTGTAACTTTGTGTGTTATCCCGTAATAGGAACTTTTGTCAATGTTGGCATAAAAGACCTTCTCTCTTCCAATCTTCCAAAGTTTAGACAAATCACAACAGAAAAGTCTTTTAAAACCTATTTTTAAGATTGCTTATTGATTGTTAAAAACGATATAATAATCACCAAAATATCAATAATTATAATCAAATCAATATATCGAATGTGTTTATAGTTATTTGAATGCAGATTTAAGCAGGGTTCAACTACACATTCAAATAACTATGAAAAAACACCCTCTATATTTGATTTTAACTCTTGTCCTATTGGAGCTTTATTGTAGTCTGTCTTCACCTGTAGAAGGGCTGTCGTGACCAAAAGAGATTTGTGAATTAAAATATTTTAAAGGAAACTTATTCCCGGAATCCTGATGTCTTTACTTTGATATTGAAACATTGGATTATTTTTTTAACTATTGAACTAAAATGAGTTCAAAAGAAACAAAGCGGGATAATTTTCAAATGTCGTTTTACAATCATAAGCCGCATTATATTGTATTATAAATTACTTTATATATTATTTACGAACGGAAAAATATGACCAGGGTAGCCTAGTGGACATGGCATCTGCTCGGAAGGCGGAACACTGTTGCGTTCGATTCCCATCCCTGGATACTTTATTTTTCCGTTTATCATTACTCTTCACAAATAATCCTTTCATGCCTCATCCCTAAGGTTAGAAATAATCGTTATTTCTCCTTAAATTAAATTTAGATTTTTCGTTCAAAAGAAACACACGAGGGATAATTTTCAAATGTTTTAAAATAAAAGGGTAAAATCATTTGACAAATTCTTCAGTAGAGTCGATAAGACCCTGCAGAGTTTCAATTTTCGATTCTTTTTACAGGGTTTCTAGGCTAAATAGTGTCTATATAAGACTGTATTCTAACCTAGGTTGGAACATAGCCGTATATAGAAATTTTCCGTTTTATCTGTTATCCCTAATATGGAATGTTCAGATATAGCTGCTGTTCTTCCTATCTAATATTAGGGACATTGCTGACAGTGTTGGAAGGAAAGCTCCAAGGGAAGAGATCGAGGGGAAGGAGACGACAGGGATACACAGGCGATCTAAAACAATGGACTGGGCGACACGAGGAGATGAAGAGGATGGCGGAGGAAGTATGGAGAGACCATGTGGCCCACCCTCAGTAGAGGAAGGCATTAAAGGAAGTCACTGAAGGAAGAACTCCCAAGCCCGGATGAAAAAGGAGGAAGGGGAGCAGTAACAAGTTCACTAAAAAAACTGGGCTCAGCTGACCCGGCTGATAGTACCCTGTAAGGGCTCCTAATCCAGGTATACAGGATGAGCAGCGTTTGTACTCCATGTTAAGAGCGGCTGTACATGGTGTCTGTTCCTTATGTCAGAGGCGGCCATTTCTTTTGGAGCTAAGTCGGCCTGCCACTGAGTAGTGCTCCCAGTCTTAATGACAAAGGCAGACGAATTCTACTTCACTCAGTCACGATGGTTGTCAAACAAGCTTGATACCCTAATATGATTGAGTGGAGATAAGGAAGAAGACTGAAGGAAGGAAGATAGAAAGGTTGGTTTCAGAAGCCAACACGTTCCCCCCTCCCTAAAAGCCAAAGGACTTTCCTCAAAGGGCAGTGGGGGTCGATTTCAGAACCACCCCATGTGAAAAGAACACACAAATGTAAAAAATTCTAGTGCTTAAAGTAAAAAGTAGCGTAACACATCAAAACAAGTACACACAAAAGATACGACAACAAATATTATCGGATGTAAATAAATAAAAAAGCAAGCACGATAAGTTATAACAAAACCAATACTTATTTTTTTTATTACAGCGTTGATAAGGAGAGGACCGGGGTTACACAGGAATGTGAGGAGATTACCAGACACAAACACAGAGAATGTTTTAAACGTCTCCACACAATATATTCTGTCAGAGTCTCCGCCTTCCCTTTGAACCCTCTTTATGTACAAACATGGCCACATTGGTCCAATGACGTCGGAGATCAGTTCGCTATTCGAATACAAAACATTTTCCAAAACCTTTTGGAAATTGCTCAAAATATATCTGTGTGTTTGAAACAAATAATTTAAGACGAAAATAAATAATATTTATTCAGATTCATACATACAATCAGTAACATCAAAACTAAATATGAATATAACAATCTGTAATAGAGTAATTGATGATATTAATGAAGAGTGAGTTGTTAATTGTAATAATACCTTTAGTGTGATGAGTGTTTCTTTTGATGAATTTTATCAAATATCTCTATAGATCTTACTGCAATGATTAGAGTTATCTTCTTTCTCTTAATTTTTTGGTTATCCCTAGTACACGTGGTACAGGCCATGATAATCATGGTGGTTAGAAGTAGGCGACTGCTTTTACTGTAATTGCACCACATGTCTACCCACAGTTCGAATTTGTACTTACAAATATGCCATTACAAATAAACCGTTGGATTTTCGGCCACTACGACCCGGGTTCGAATCCTGCATTGGGCACTTCATTGGGCACTAATTAAAAAAAGAAAGCTCCAATGGCCGTCGATTCTTTCAAAAGTCCAACCCCACCAGCGAATGCAAGTAACCAAACAGGGCTATGGCATATTTGTAAGTGTAAAAGTCAAACTGTTTTTCTCATGTGTAGACATGTTGGTGCACTTACAGTAAAAGCAGTCACTAACTTCTACCCACCATGATTATCATGGCCTGTAACGCGTATTAGGGATAATAATAAAAATATATAATTGCAATAAAGTCTGTAGAGATAATATTTGCTAATATTTATCAAAAGAAACACATTGCCAAAATTAATAATTACATATTTTATTGATAGATGGCAATTTATTTTGCATTGTTGGGTTCTGAGCTGTCTGGAGCATAGGAGCTCCATCTATTCTTCCTTCCTGTGGTGAATCTGTATAAGACCGGTGGTCTTAATAAAGCTGTATGTGTGTATATTCAGAACAATTGTTGGGTTCTGTGCTGTCTGGAGTATAGGAGCGCCATCTATGCTTCCTTCCTGTGGTGAATCTGTATAAGACTGGTGGTCTTAATAAAGCTGTATGTGTGTATATTCAGAACAATTGTTGGGTTCTGTGCTGTCTGGAGTATAGGAGCTCCATCTATGCTTCCTTCCTGTGGTGAATCTGTATAAGACTGGTGGTCTTAATAAAGCTGTATGTTTGTGTGTATATTCAGAACAATTGTTGGGTTCTGTGCTGCCTGGAGTATAGGATCTCCATCTATGCTTCCTTCCTGTGGTGAATCTGTATAAGACTGGTGGTCTTAATAAAGCTGTATGTGTGTATATTCAGAACTATTGTTGGGTTCTGTGCTGCCTGGAGTATAGGATCTCCATCTATGCTTCCTTCCTGTGGTGAATCTGTATAAGACTGGTGGTCTTAATAAAGCTGTATGTGTGTATATTCAGAACAATTGTTGGGTTCTGTGCTGCCTGGAGTATAGGAGCTTCATCTATGCTTCCTTCCTGTGGTTTATCTGTATAAGACTGGTGGTCTTAATAAAGCTGTATGTATGTGTATATTCAGAACAGTTTCTAAGCGGGTTTTTCATGTTATGCTGTACAAGTTATCATAATACAATCAATTCTTCTTTTTCTCATTCTTACAACAAAGGTACAAATCTTTCAAGCCCATTAAATACAGTAAAACCTCCTTGTAAAGGACATCCAACTAGGCAAAGACATGGTGTTCTTTAGAGGGAGGTGTCTTCTTACCGGATAATTGCTGTTTAGTAAAAAAAATGGCAATATTGGCAATAAAAACCGTCTTTTAGCACGAATTTTCTCTCATGGGGGGATTGCTATATACATGTATAATGACAAATGTGCAAAGACAAGGGGTGTACTTCAGAAGGAGGTGTCTACATACCGGAGAATTGCTGTTTAGTAAAAAATGGCAATATTGGCAATAAAAACTGTCTTTTAGCATGAATCTCATGGAGGAACTGCTATATACATGTATAATAACACTCCATATGTTAATAAATTTGTTACTATTAGCGCAAAATGTTCTTTTTTTAATTAAAACAATACATAATAAAAACTGTGATGAGTCAGGGGGTCTCTTCCAATTATTTTTTCACACTGCATAAAAGACAATAGGATTTGTAAAAAAAATTTTGATGGAAAAATATATTTTTTTCGTTAATTGTTTTAAAATATACATCAAATATATAGAAACATTTACAAGTTGAATGTTAATACATCAATACCTCGCTTTGCGTCGTTTCGTTTTGCGTTTTTTTTTTCGAAGTTGTGTCGCTGCTTAATTTTTCCTGATTTTTACTGTGCGACGTTAGATTTTCGAAGTTGCGTTGTTTTGGATTCGAGTCTTTAATTTTTAAAATTTTTTTTTCCTAAAATATGGCAACACCTTTGTTTTTGATTGCGCCTTCACATATTTTCACTTCGCGTCGTGTTTTTTTTTTGGAACGTAACCCCGACGCAAAGCGAGGTATGGGTGTCTACGAAAAAGAAAGAATAAACAATATTAAGGTAAAGGATTTCTTTTAATTTTGATTTTAGGAAGTTTTCGAACAAAATTTCTGTTCTTCAACGAGCATATACTTCTTTACAAAATACAAAATTGAAAGAAACCCTCTTTACTTTAATATTATTTATTATTTATTTTTTTAATAATTTCTAGGTAACTGTTACTCAAATAAAATGTTAATATACAATTTTGAAAAGACACAAAATATCAAAATATCATTTTTAAATCATATTATCTTAACAATATATTTTATCTCCGTCATACATGTTTAGGATGTGCATAAACGCGAAGGCAAGTATGTGCATTGAAATGTAAATTAATGTTAACCTTATTTCATATCAAATGAATCACACATGCTTTATAATGTAAACTTTCAATGATTGAAATCATTCATTATGAAAAAATAATAATAATAAATTACAAGATGTTAATTAGTTATCAAATCATCGTACTTAAAAATGGTTTAGCTACTGAATTCTCAACACTCACTTTATCTTTAATATGTTCTTTTTTATAAGATGATTTGAAATGATTCATGACCGAATCACTTAGAGAAAGAAGAACGGGTAATAATGCTAGACTATGGGCCATAGCAAAAGTCATAAGTAAGGTCATAGTTTTAAAGAAGACATGGAAATTGTAAGATGCAGTAAGAGGCAAAACACCAACGCCAATAATGGTTGAGATACACGCTTGAGATATTGGCATTCCGACATAGAAAAGTGCATCTTTCATTTTTTCATCTCCAGTTTTCATTTTACTACAGACAAAGGAGTATGTAATATGAGCTGCATTATCAACAGAGAATCCTACAGAAATGATGAGTGCAACCATAGATGGTGGGTTTAGATTAACATCCCATAGAGCCATGTAACCCATAACACCAATCTCAATGGATACTATAGTAAAAAAGACCCAAATAGAACAAGCTAAATTCGGAATAAACAGTAAAGTAATGCACATCATAATCAACGCAGTAATAGCAATTGTTTTTAAAGTAAAAGCTGTCATTCCAATTTGAATTTCTATTATCATCATATATGGATGATATAAAAACATTTTAATTGGTATATTATCTAATGCTTCCCATAATTTCATTGTTGCATCTCTTGCATCT